ATTCGTCACGCATAAAAATTGATATCTATATCAATATTATAACATTTTATGTAGACAAAATTATATTTTTAGTCATGTTGGTTCAACGTTTTAGTATTTTTAGTCACAAAATTTTGGCTTTTTGTCTTTTGATAATATAATTTAGTATTTTGCTGCAATTTCAATAGTTTAGGACTGAAATTGTAACAAAATTTAAAATTATAGGACGTAAATATTGAAGTAATTCCTGTATTTTTAAATTTTGTTGCATTTTCAGTTCGAAATGACTGAAATTGAGTTGAATTTTAAAATCATAGGACCAAATAACAAAAATATTTAATTTTTAGGACAAAAAAGCCACTTGATCAAACTAATATGACAAAAAATATAATTTTGCCTTTTATATATATGTATATATATATATATATATGTTAATGGTATAACATGTCTATTTAAAAGTATGGTTGCCTATGATTTTGAGTCTGATTAATAGTACTCTTACTTGTACAATTCTCGTGTATTATGCGGGTACTTGCTACAATTTTTTTTTTTAAATTTAAAATTAATGAAAAAAAATAAGTGAAAATTTAAATACTTTCAATATATATATATATATATATATATATATATATATATTATTTTAGTATGATACTCGTTACTTGTGCGACTTACATGTGTTATATTATAATAGCATTTTTAACTTATAACATATAACTACATCAAACATGAATATATTAAATAAGAAATAATTTTATTTTTTAATTAATTTTAATATATATATTTTTATTATTGTAAAGATAAATATAATTTAATTATTTTATATATACAATGTGGATGCCAAATTGAAACTCATCAAAAAATGATTAATTTGATACATTATATATGTAAAACGGATAAAAAAAATACAGAAATTATCAACTTTTAAAATATATTTACAATTCAATAATTATAATAGGAATGCAATTAATACATCTGAAATAATCATAAATAAATCAACATATTTATGGTAATATGAACCTAATTAATTTTGGATAGGAATAAAATTAAAATCTATTCAAGCCAAAGAACAAAACATGAAATTTTGACACCTAAGATTTTGAAGCATGCGAGTCTGCCACTTAGCCTCAGCACATTAGAAAATTCTATATAAAATAATAACAAGTGAAATTGTAGTACATGAAATTACAACATCAATTTATAAAAGGTCAAACGCAATTTATTCAAATAAATTTAATATTTGCCTACTTGTCTCAATGAGATGCTAAATAAACAATAAGATGGAGTGAATAGTTCTTTTATTTCATTTCTTACTTGTCTTGTAAGGCTTGATTTGATAATGATTTATTGAATTTTGATCGGTTTCTCTTGTTAATCATAATTGATTTTGAAACAAATAGTTGGTTTAAGTTGAAAGCATAATTTTGAATTTGTATTAAAATAATATTTAAATTAAATATTTACAGTTAATTTGACGTGAATGTTAAATAATTAGAAATGATGTATATTTAAAATTATATATGAATGTGAAATTAAATTTAATGTGATGTGATATTATATCAAGCATCAAATTTGATTTTTAATTTTTTTTATTGCAAAGTAGCATCCCAATGTAAAAACTTGCAACAGTGATAAAAAAGTGTGGTGCACGGTGCACCACACTATTTAAACTGTTGATCATTGAAGGAATTTAAATTTAATTTTTGTGGAATCAATTATATTTTATTTTATTTTATTTTATTTTGTCACACTCAAAAGTGTGTGTAACAGTGTAGTCACGTCCAAGCCAGCAGGCCTCTGCAGAAAAATGGGACAAAAAAAGGAAAATAAAGTTGCAGAGTGAAAAAATATTAAAGGAAAAAAGTCAGTGAAATATCACAGTCTATATACCATGATGATGATAGTTGCTAAGACCTAGGCTTTTTCCTTTGGTACGTTTCGGAATTTTCTTATTATCTAATTACTCAGATTTTTACAATACTACGATCCCGTTACGAAACCATTCCGTCAAGATTTGTAACCGTTAGATCATCATATAACTGTCGAGGATAGTTGATCTAACGGTTACAAACCTTGACGAAATAATTGCGTCGGGACTGTAGTATCTCCCATAATTCTGACTATACCTTGATTATTGATAAATGTACACACTTATTTGCAATTCAATTCATACAAATGGTAAAAAAATGTTCCTTTTTTCAATAAATTTAGCAAAAAATGAGTTACATTATGCATCGATTAAATGTAATTAAATTATACTATTTACTACTAATGTTAATTTATTATAAATTCAATTAAATAGTTTATAGAGATAAGATGTTTATAAATAATCTTATTCTAAAAGTTTGATTCAAACTATTTATTCTATAAAAAGATATTATCTTTTACAACGATTGTCTAAATGGTTGCAACGACATAACCGAACTCCTTACGATTGCATAAATGATTGTTGTAATAATAGCAATTCGAATATTTTTTTAACTAATTTAATTGGTAATGTAACGATTCATACGTAAGTTAAATATTTTATATTTATATTTTTTAATTTTATCAATGATCAAATTTTAAAAACAATAATAAGTCATTCTAGGCTCAACACGTTTTTTCGTCATGTCAACATGTTTTTTCGTCATGTCAACATCTGAAACGTAAAAATTCGTCACTTAAATTCAACACGTTTTGAATTAATATATAGGAAGAGGTAACACGACCCACTGATTGACCCTGCAGACTGTATACGTTCGTCTTTGCAAACCCATTTAAGCCCAATCACCAACGAGGGCTGCAGACGTCAGCACATGCCCTTTACTACGTCAGCACAAATGAGAAAAAAAAAACAAGAATTATAAATGGAGAAGAAAGTGAGCAACTTGTTTTATTTACAGCCTTATTAGCTCAATTTTACCTTCTTTTGTCAGAGGCCTGTTTTGTTTTGCTCCCCACCTTTTATTTCTCCTCAGATCTCACCTTATCCCTTCATAGTGAAAATCAAAAGAGTCCCATTTTTCTGTTGGTAGGTTTAAAGATTGTATTTTGAGGCCAAAAATCGAGATGGGTTGTGCTGGGAAGACAGTTTCTTGAATATCAGTGTAAGCGTGTTTTTGTTTCTTCAGTTTTTTAGCGACTTTAATAATGTCACTTTTGAAGTAATTTATGTGTGATTATCATGCAAACCGTGTGGATAAAAATTGAATCTTTATTGGATTATCTCTTCCATTGTGATGTCTAAGTGCTGAAAATTGAGTTTATTTTTACTTTTCTTTTGTGTAACTCTTTCTTGTTATTTACTGTTATTGGAAGACTGAAAAAAAAAAAAAAAAAACCAGTGAAATACCCCTGTTGGAGAATGCTGCAATCCCGTTACGGGATGGTTCCGAGTTTTTTTTTTAAGCCGTGGATACACATGTAGATCAGTGATGTGTAGGTAATATATGCTTAAAAAGAACAACAGAACCATCCCGTAACGGACTGTAGCCTTCCCCCTTGTTTATTATGTTTCTTGAATTTGCCATTTATTTATTTTGTCATTTTCCTATTTTCTGGCCAGGGCCCTGAAAATTTTGGCGGTGGGTTATTGATTTTTGTATTTAGTGAACGATTACAAGATTTCAATGCTTTTGAGTCTTCTGTTCATGTTGAGTATATGTGTAAGTTCTACATGACCAGTCTAAATCTTTGTAAATGATCTGCAAAAATGATTTATTTTGGTTGGTGTTGTGGTGGTTTGGTTATTAATTTTTCTTTTGATGAGTTTGGTGAATAATATCATTTATAAGATTTGAATGCTTTGTAGCCTGCTATTTGAGTATACAAGTGGATGCTAGATGACTAGTTGCATGAGATGAGATGCAATAGTGATACCTTTGGCTTGTTTTGCTGTGGGTTTTTGTTGAACTTTTTGGTGAATTTGATGAACAAATGATAATCACAAGATCTGAATGCTTTTTAGCCTCCTTGAGTATGTGTCAATGCTAGGCAAAATGCTACCATTCCGTTACAAAACCATTACGTATCATCATGTAACCGTCGTGGATAGTTGATCTAACGGTTACCAACCCCTATGAAATGGTTTCGTAACGTGGAATCTCCCCAAAGCTAGATGCCCCTGTTTTATGGTGATTATCACCTTGTTTATATTTGATTGCAAAAATTTTCCATAAATTGATTGTAATTTCTCTACACTTTAGTGATTTTCTATGTGTTTCTTTTTTCTTCCTTTTTTTTATATCTATTTTTATTTTTCATATCCCCCAACACATTCGCCCCAGATCCCAAAGCAATTTCTGCAGATTCTTGATATCAATATATATATATTTTTTTTTCCTGCAGTTTTTAGTTATTACCTAAAGTCCCATCCATCATTTTGAGATAAAGTCAACTTTTCACATCAGTTCCTCATTTCCAGGCCATGCTTATTTTGGCAGCCTATGCTTTAATTGTTTAATTTTTATTACCTTATAGAATTCAATCGGAAAAAAACGTGCTTATGCGCTCGTCGAGTTTTACACATCGGAAAATTTCCTGTAAGGGCACTGATCGAACCTTTCGAGTTAGACCACTCATCTACTCAGCATTTACTCTTTGTAGCTTTAAGGTACTAAAATCCAATAAACATTCTTGTCATTGTGTAGCATATTGGCATTCATTTTGTGTCACATTCTGATTATCACAACATAATCTTCTTGTTGAAATTGGGTTTGATTAGAAAACGACTTGAATATTGCGCACACCCTATCCTTTTCACGATGTTTTCATGCCCGAAAATAACTTATCGACAACGCATTCTATTGCCTGCATTATCAATTACTCTAGCTGCATTTTGGAAATTGTGATGATATTATATGGTCCTTTTATGCTACTAATAAGCTAATTATGTATTGACACTCACATGACTTGTCTCTTAACTACATTAAATATATTAATCATCGCATTTTACGCTTTAACGATCTTCTTTATAAAAAAATGTATCAGATAACTAATTATGAGGATCTCCCGGCCACGGGCCGACCCTTCCACGTCAGCAAATGAAGGAGCGGCAGCGTTGGCGGCCTGAGGAGGATTCGTTACTCCGCGCGTACGTACGGCAGTACGGCCCGCGCGACTGGCACCTCATCTCCCAGCGCATGAACTCGCCTCTCGACCGAGACTCCAAATCGTGCCTCGAGCGTTGGAAAAACTATCTTCGCCCCGGGATCAAAAAGGGCTCCCTCACACCCGACGAGCAAGCCCTCGTCATACGTCTCCAGGTATGCTTGTAAACAAAGTGAATTTTTTTTATTCAATTCAATATTCGAATTCAAGTTTTTATACTATTAATGTTTTATATTAAAAAATTAAACAAATCCGAATTCGAATTTATAGATATTCGATTCGAAATTATCGAATATTCTATTCGTTAATGATAATTATAAATTTTATAAATTATATATAGTATATTTTTTTTTATACATATAGATATATGTTGTTATATTTCTAATATTTTTATAACATAAAAGTTAAAAACATTCCAAATTAACAATTTGTCTTAAAAACATCTCAAATTGGATAGGAAAAACATAAACATTTTGTAATTATAATCTTATTTTTTAATTATAATATTTTTTTGAAAACGAACTTCGAATTGAATCGAATATGTTTGAATATTCTAAAAGAATCAAATACGGATAAAAAATGAGTTCGTTTACAAATTGAGTACGAATTTCAATCATCAAATATTTTATCGAGTCTGAATCGATTATCTTAGTATTAGCTTTGATGCTATTCATTACAACCCTATCTCCAGGCCAAGCACGGCAACAAGTGGAAAAAAATCGCAGCCGAAGTTCCCGGGAGGACAGCTAAGCGTCTCGGAAAGTGGTGGGAGGTTTTCAAGGAGAAGCAGCTCCGCCAGCAAAACGAGCACAACAGCAAAAACGAGGCATCGTTAGTTGAGCCCATCAAGGAGCGGAAATACGACCACATTCTCGAGACTTTTGCTGAGAAGCTCGTTAAGGAGCCGGCCCGTGTAGTAGCAGCGCCTATGCCTCCGAGCCCGGTTCCGAATGGAACGGGCCCGCCGCTTCCGCCGTGGATGGCGGTGGGCCCGAGTTCGCCGTCGGTGGCTTTGACACTTTCCGGCCCACCGGGCCCGGCAATCTCCTGGCTGCAAGGGCCCGTGGGCCATGGAAATTTTCCAGGCTGCAATGATTATGGTTCTAATAATAATGGTGGGCTTGTTTTATCGGAGCTAGGGGAGTGTTGGAGGGAAATGGAGGAAGGGCAGAGAGCTTGGGCGGCCCACCGGAAAGAGGCGGCGTGGAGGCTGAGGAGAGTGGAGCTGCAGCTGGAATCGGAGAAGTCGAGCAAACGGAGGGAAAAATCGGAGGAGATTGAGGCGAAGGTGAGGGCTTTAAGGGAAGAGGAGAAGGCGGCGCTGGAGAGGATTGAGGTCGAGTATCGGGAGCAGCTGGCGGGGCTACGGCGGGAGGCAGAGGTTAAGGAGCAGAAGCTGGCCGAGCAGTGGGCAGCGAAGCACGCTCGTCTGGCCAAGATACTTGAGCAGGCGGGGGTACGGCTGGCCGGAGGCGGCGAGGCGAATGGGCGGTGAAAAGTGGAGATAAATAAATGTTCGGTTCCGTGTTTCTGTTGTTTGTGTTGTGTGTGTGTGTGTGTTGGGATGTGGTTTTTGGGTTCTGTATACTGATGATGGTGAACGGTTTTTGGGAGGTTATATGAATAATCTTTCCTATCTTAATTTGTTATTGGTTCTTTAAGCATTTTGATTTTTGCTTATTCTTGATCATTACTTGTGTTTCATCAAAACACATCATTTTTTGTGTGAGTCGGCCTAATCGTTGGTTGATCAGTCAAGTTCCGTCTGTCTAATTGTTTAACATGTAAAATAACTGAAATTGAGCATTTAAATAAGATCGAGCTCGTCTTATTTATTAATATTAAATAGATGAGTTTGAGCACTGACAATTTGAAATCAAACCTTAACAAGTCGGGCCATCAAAATTATATAAAACAAAATATTTCTTTGAGCCGTGACGAGCCAAGCTCGGATTGACTCATTAACTAAATGATCTCGAGGTTGGCCTATTTTGTCGAATTGAGTCGAACGGAGCTCACGGGAGGAATATTAAAGTCGAGCTCAGTTCACAAACGAGTCGGTAGGCATGTCTGGTTGCCATTAACTAGTCTTTTAAGAAGGGTTTGACACGAGATGCCATTAACTAGAGTTTATATCATTCTTTTACATAGATTTAAGCCAACAATGTAAACAATTAATAATAATAATAATAAAAAAAAAATGTGCACCAAAAGTATAATAATATTAGTAGGTTCCCATGTGAATACGGAAACCGGAAGGTCCCTGTACCAAAAAAAAAAAATTTTAGCAACAATATTTCTTATAAATTTAGACTATTTATTTATTTACTTATTTATTTAGGAATTTAGACCATTTGTCTTGTCTCCAACTCCCTTGTTAATAAACCATACGGTACATCACGTATGTTGCAACATCGTTGAAGGACCTGAATGTCTTGTTCATCCTCTCGTGAAAATAAAACTGAAAAAGACACACATAAAGAGCAAAAAATAAAAATTAAAAAAATATTTTTGGATATTCCTCAACAAAATTATATTCATTTGATCATAAAATTCTCTTATGAGTCTAACAAGTTTACATTTTTAACAAAAATACATGTTTATATTATGAAACATCGTACATTTATTAATAATGTAGGTTTTTGTAATACGAGATTTTAATTTGAAAGTATGCATATTTTACTAAAAATATACGTTTTTCTAAGTGTTAAGTCTATCGGATAATAGGGAACTACTACAGTCCTGTTGACGGAATGATCCCGTCAGTGTTAGTTACGGTAGATTATCCACACAAGATAATCTATATGTGTATCCAATGGTGAAAATACTGACGGTACCATTCCGTAACGGGACCTTAGAATTCTCCCCGATAACAATCTAATTGTTTTTTTTTTTTAATTAGCCAATAATATTAATAATGGATTTAATACCTTTTCTGTCTTGGATGTTTCTGTCCTTTCCCTAACCTCGACGGTCCATGGTCCACGAAGTCTTTCCTCCATGGTCAAATCATATTTGGTCAACACTTGGGGATACACTTCTGCTGTTGTAGGGGATCCTACCCTCAGCCCCACTGAAGCAATTCCTCTAGCTTCCATTTTTGATTTTCCAGATGTATTATAGGGCAGCAATGCATAGAAGGTTTTTTCTCCTGTAGCAGTCTGTAAAAAAAAATAAAAAATAAAGATGAATATTATTATACGAATGTCTGACGACCTGTCTAATAGTTAGACACGAGCACGACTATATTTTCTTATAAGAAATACATACTTTTATTATAAAATATCGTACAAAATGACTACTGTTAGACAGATTTAACGATTAGTTGGACATACATTTATCGACATATATGAATACCGGCCATAAGTATACATTTTTAGTTATAAAATTGGGACGAGTTAGACCCCTCTAACAATGACTCATCCAATAATTTTCGTATTACTGTTATTGTTATAATAATAATAATAATAATAATAATAATAATAATAATAATGTTCTTTTTTCTAATAATAATAATAATAATAATAATAATAATAATAATAATAATGTTACGGTTAGACAAATCTAATAGTTAGATAATAATGTTCTTTTTTCTAAAAAAAAAAAATATGCAATGTATTCAAACAAAAATGTCATATTTTAAAAAATTACTAAATAAAAACATGATATTGTATATCATAATTCATAAGTATATATTTTCGTCAAACTAGTATGACGAGTCGATCCTAATTAGGCCATACTTATATAATAAATGGTGAATTAGGATTATTATTATTATTATTATTATTATTATTATTATTATTATTATTATTATTATTATTATTTTTATCATTATATATAAAAACTTGTTGCATTATTATTATTATTATTATTATTATTATTATTATTATTATTATTATTATTATTATTATTATTATTGATTAATTAATAAACCTCATGCAT